AATACAGAGACTTGTCAAGGCTAAAGTATGTTTTTTTTTTATTTTCAGCTTGAAAAATTAAGCTTATCGATGTATCCTTTTACGCTGCTGTTTAAGCATAAAGCTTCACTTCATCTTAGTTTTTCTGCAATTAAAATCACTGGCATAGCCAGCCTGCAAGATTACCATTCTACTCATTTCAGAAAATCATTATTCAAGTCACTGCAATCAATGCTGGTGGTGCATCAATTTCTTTAAGCGCACATGTATGCGCATGCCTTGAAACAAGTTTTGATTTCACCTCGTTTAATTATACTCTAAGTATACTAAACAGATACCTCTGAGGGGGTAAAACCGTGATTTGTGGGTAGCGCCAGTCCTTTTAAAAACTATTCAAAAATTATCACTGTAAGTTTTAAAAAACTCTTATTTTTTTGGGAGGGGGGAGGGGGTGAGGAGGGTTGAAAAATTTCAATGTATATTTGGCTTTGAGCAATCATGGGACAATAGTGTAGGAGTAAGCGTTCAAGATGTATTTTAGTTCAATGGGTTACCGGAGATAACGTTTTGAGCAAGCGTTTAGTTTTATCATCTTCCGTTCTATTTTATCCATGACTAGTTATTGTCTGACAAAATCTTCATCAAAGCGATCAAAGCTAAGTTAGGAATTGCTTTTTTTGTCCTTATAGTCCTTAGAAGAAGCTTACTGCGACTTTTCGACATAAAACGTTATAAAAAGTGCGTGAAAATTGTGTATATTTGAAAATGAACATCGATGATTGAAACCTGAGGACAGTGGTTCCAATAAATTTATCGTCAAAATTCATAGATGGCAAAGAAAACTTGACTTGTAGTCCCTTTAAGTAATACTTCAAATTAACTGATAATTAACTAATTTTTGACAACATTTATTAGTAAAATAGAGTTTTTTAACTGTGTCTGCCATTCGTCTGTGTGAAATGCAAATTGTCAAATTAGCCGTTTCAGATAGTTTGATATGTGCTTTTTCATATGACACATGACATAGCCTTGTATTTAGTCATTTAATTTGATCATTGTCAAATTCTATGACACATGACATAGCCTTGTATTTAGTCATTTAATTTGATCATTGTCAAATTCTATGACACATGACATAGCCTTGTATTTAGTCATTTAATTTGGTCATTGTCAAATTCTATGGACGGAAACAATGGATTCTCTTAGGATTTCTTGAATGTTTTGAAATTAAAGTTCAAGTACCAAAAGAAAAATGGCAAGAAGGTTGTGTGTTTCGATGCTTTTTTTTGGCCTTATAGTCCTTAGAAGAAGTTTGCTGCGACTTTTCAACAATAACGTTATAAAGAGTGCATGAAAATTGTGTATATTTGAAAATGAACATCAATGATCGAAACCTGAGGACAGTGTTTCCAATAAATTTATGGTCAAAATTCATAGATGGCAAAGAAAACTTGACTTGTTGTCTCTCTAAGTAATACTTCAAACTATCTAATCAATTGACTAATTATAGACAACATTTATTTGTAAAATAAAGGAAATATATAATGTATTAATATATTATATATATTCTCTGATGATGGCTTCGGAATAAAATCAAGGAAATGTCAAATAATATGATTTTTGTATTTTATGTTGTTAACTATACATGAACTAGTCGCTTACGTGAATAACAGAATAGACAGAGTAGGCAGTTCACTAGTATTTTAAAAAAATTTCTAGAAAAACATTCATCACAACGAGGCTTGAAAATCTTTTTCTCTTATCGGACTTTCGCCTGAGAGGTATTGTTTGATGGTTGACATGATTTATAACGGTTGTACTGAAGAGAAATGTGGAACATAATTTCCATAACTGCATGCTCTATATTGTCAGTCTGTGTACATTGAGATGCATGGTTTTTGAAATGCAGTTGTGGAGCCAATTCGCAAGTTTTGTCGTGCTATGTAAATATTTAATAGTAATCTTTATTTTTTAAGAGAAAGCATACTAAAAAACATACGTTTGAGTTTACAAGGTAGTATTTTCAAAGCTATTTAGTATAAAATTATCGCTATTTACAATTTAATAATTCGTAAATTTAAACCAAGTTAATAATTCTGCTTTCACTCATTACACGAAAGTACATTTCTAAAGAAAGAAATAATAACAATCACCTTTAATTCACATACCACGACCAAACACAGCTGACCCGCTTCGCTAATGTCTGTGTATATTTTAATGTATTTACCAGCTCAATGATTCTCGAATAAGACCGAGCAAACGAGGTTTGTAAAAAGTTCATTATATTTCATGAGACATTTGTATATTTTCTGTTTGCTTTAGTACTTTAGCATTCTTTTTTTGTAATGGACCGCTGAATATGTTTTAAAGCCACTCAAAGAGCGCTATTTCTCTGGAACTGACGCTTACCACATCATATTGGTCATGTTATAATTCCCCTATGATGAATAATAAAGCATGCGCGCTACACAGATGTTTAAACCCATCTGGTATTATATCGTGAGCAGCGAAACGAAAATAATCATGCTTGTTGATGATAATATAAAAAGTTTATATCGTTAAACATTGATAATTTCACTCATACAATTTGTGGTGAAACGTGAGAAAACATACTCCGGCAGTGTCACAGGAATTTTGCCCTTCCCCCCTTCCCCCCTCCCCACGCACACTAAAAACTTTATAACTTTTATCTCGAAAAATGGTGCAACTTTTTCAAAACCAAGATCTTAGTCGACAGAATATGACAAAATGTATGCAGAGCTACTTCACTTGTCGGATATCTTAGATCGCCTGTGATCTTGGTTTTCGAAAAAGTTGCACCATTTTTGTGAGAAAAGTTAAAATTTTTGCCACAAATCCGAGGAATTGAAGAAGGTGGAGAGGAGAGAGAACGTGGTGAAGGTAGAGCAATTAGAAAAGGTAGTGCAATTAGAAAAGGTCGAGCAGATGAAGAAGGAAGAGAAGGTGGAGCATATGAAATACGTCGAGGTGGCAAAGTTCCTGAGATTTGGTTTTATTGGCTTGCAATCTTAATCTACCTCATCGAAGTATTAGTCAAGTTTACATCTGTATTACTGGATACTGTGCAAGAGCTTCCAACACTCGTCAAAGATTCTTTCCCCGACGAGTCAAAGGGATTTAACGGAGTAATTCTCATTTTTTTGGGTTTCAGATTGGCATTTCACGTTCGTATATTGCGATTTTTTTACGATAAAATTTTCCACGGACACAAAAATCTGTTGTCTGAACCGTCTTCCCAACTTGAAGAAGAGTGAAACAATTTAAAACATGTGGAACAGGTGTAGGTACTGGTAGAACAGCAAAATAACACATCAAGCTTAAAAAAATGCTTCATGTAGCAACTTCACTAGAGAACTGAACATTTACCCTGAAATATGGAAGCTATCATTTCTCAATAATATATTGTTGCAATGACTTTTACCTAATGAAAATGTAATTTTCCTTCCAAGAAATATATATCATCACAAAACTTATCTTAATTAATAAGCACTTAATTTTAACATCAATATATCATGTGCAGATTATGCACAAGACTACAATAATACTAGTGACAAAACATAATATGTAAGATTTGTGTCAACAAACAAAGCTTCTTCCTGTTTGACTGAAAACCATTTTTACCTATGTTTTATTGAGCTTGGCCTTCTTATGGCATCAAAATCACAAAATGCAAAAACTCTAAATGGAAGAGACAGTAGTTTTTTTATGTTAGCAGCCATTTTACAAATAAATTTTCGGAAAAAAGCTTTTTACGGGATGAACTTTTCCGAAATTCTTCGAGAACTGAACTGATGGTTCTAATCAGAGCACGCGAACATGTTTTACTAACGGCATAGCCCGGACGTATTTCTGAAGTATTAGATTGGATTTCTATACTTTAATAATCATTGACTAAAGTATAGAGGACATACAGTGGTCAAACTTTTGAATTTTTTGAGCGACGCTTATTTTATCACGCATGTGATTACCACAAGTCAATAACAGCTAGATAATTAGATTTTCTGACCAATACAAACAAATATTGTTAATCAAATTAAATGTACAGCAGCAGCGAGTTACATAGCGAAGTAATCCCACATTCCGACTGTTTCTTTCGTAAGCAGTGAGATTTAAGAATCAGTTTGCTCATTTTGGATTATATAACGTCTTTTCTACAAAATTGGAAGGCTTTCAATTTTCTTTCTCGATCATATCTTACACCATACAAGGTGCAGAGTTGAAAAACTTATCATGACCATCAAATCACCCCAATTGATAAAAGTATTTAATCGACGTAGAATTTTTACCAATGACAGAAACTGCTGAACAATACCAACGAATGATGGACTAACAAATAAATATTTGTGTCAAACAAATTGGAAAGTTGTGAAAGTAACATTCAGAATTTAAAGTTTATTTGATTTTCAACATTACAGGTTTTAAAAACGTCAGTCAAGACCGTCATCAAAAATCCATTCAGGACTACAATTTTAAAGATGTAACGATACAACAGTGTAGGAATATACAGTAGGTCCACTTCGTGTGCAATTTAATGCTGTATATTTACTTAGATTACTGGCTGACGTCAGCCATTTCATCATTCGTATTGGTCAAGAAAAGCATTTGACTGGCTGTCACAATGGTAATCACGTCCTTAATAAGATAAACAAAAAAATTCAATTAAGCGGCTCTACTGTATATTCACTATACTGTGACGATACTCCATAACGCTTTCATTTAATATATACTTTCATTGTTGATTCATTATTAGCCATGAAAATTTATGCAGCCTATTCCAAAATAAGTGGAAAAAGTCTAATTTGGAACACTTTACTTCTTACTTTCGTTTTAAATCTTCGTTTTAAAGAGCTAGAGAACTCCTTAAGATAGCTAGGCAAAATACATCTACAAAATTTTGTGTAGATGTGATGTGATTGCATGCTTTTGATAAAGCGCATGTACGAGAAATAATTCTTTTCAAATTCTAAAGTTTTGTACGATTTTAAAAAAACCCCGAAGAATCAAAGATAAGTACTTTATTTATCTTAACAAAAAATGTTGTTGACGGAAATGTCGACGTTTGCGATACAAAGAATTGATCTCAGAGCTCACAGAAAGAAGTTGAACAACGTAGTGACAGTATACAGAAAAAACAAATACTTCGGTCTTTTTTTACATCATCGGCATCTCCTGCATCTAAATGATTACAAAAGAACAAGTTCATGACAGGGTGAAAACAATCATATGCATGCACCTTTATTTGTCTCTTTTTGATCATGTTCTTCATCATCGTTTCTCGTATTTGAAATCAAACACTAAAAGTTGCTAATGACTTCAAAATACATATATCTCTGCCTTGTTTTTGATTCTATTCTTCCTCTTCGACTTTTGCATCTGAAAAATAACAAAGAACATGTTAATGACGTCATGAAAACGAGTTAATATACTTTGAGTTACGACAAATTAAGTTTAGTGCTTGCAGAAGATATGTAGAAGTACACACAGAATCACATAGCAAATTAATTTTAAGATTTTGCAAGGTTTTTAAGATTCCCGATGGTTCTATCATGACATACAACATGGCTATCCACCGTTATCCATGTTATCTGAGCAATTGTCCGAAAGTCAAAACATAGACTGAAACAGGGGCGGATCTAGGATTTTTCAAACATCAGTCATGGAACGCCTGAGGCGTTCCCCACCTAGGAGGTCCATACTCCGACGGAAAGTTTTGAATTTCAAAGCCTTGGAAATGCCATTTTCAGCGTTTTAGAGCAATACAAAATGTTTTTTGTGGCATGGTTTTCGCGTAAAAACAACACATTTTGCTTACGATATTTTATAAAAAAACTGTGAAGTGAATAATACTTGAATGTTTTGCAAAATGTTAAGGCTTATTATCATGCCAAATATAAGGCATGCCTAGGAACATAAAATTTACTTTACAATAATGCTTTTCCAAAAAAAGATTGTCTTCAAAAATTTCTACCAAGTTGTCAGGCATAGACCCCTCTAGAGACCCCCATTCACACCTCTATGTAATGACTTAAGTTAGAAATTAGGTACTACAAGAGACAGTTCATAGATGTAGAAAAGCTGAGACATTAAACCATGCAAGTTTATTGTAACCTTTTACCCATTTCCACATACAGTGCAAGCTAATTCACCTTTTAAGAAAAAAACTCAAAATTTTTTTCTGCCTAAGATTAAACTAAAATTATCAGAGTGAAAATTTGCAATTAAGAACAGCTTAATGCATTAATGTTAACATACCTTTAATCATTTAATTACATGAATGTTAAAATTGGTTCATGTGTCATGCTTACTGATTATGATAATTATCTTTTCGTAGAATCAAAACTAGTTAAATGTAAATCTGAAATAATTTAGTTTGGAAATTATAATGATCATCAGAAAAATTACCTAGTGGTTATGAAAAATACTTTGCTTTTTTGCCAAATTTCAAGGTTTATCTGCATACATAGGAAGACATTTTTACTTTATAGAAAATGCTTTTCATACATCAATAGCCCTTTGGAATTTATGGCAAACAATCTGTTATGAGCCGTAGATTAACACACCTTTACATCTCTACATGAGGTGTTCAGTTAGAAAAGGGGACAATATGTGACATGGGACAACATTTCATGTATGTGAAATACTCAGGTTTATTACCATTCCAGTCAAATTGTCAAAATAAAAAGCTTCATGGATGAGAAAGACTCATAATCACAGGTTATAGTAAACAGCTTCTCGTTTAATCAATATCAGTTTTCTCAAGTCTTAAACAATGTGTAGTATTACTATGCAATGATTGAATGATTGATCAATGATTATACACTGAAAAGCCCCAAACATTTGTTTATAATAAGGTAAATAATAGCATGGCACCTTATGGCAACAGATTTTTCGTCCATTGAAATACAATTGAAGGAATATAGGCCAAGACTCCCCAAGCACTAAAGAAATCATAGCTAAAAGTCGTTCGGCAACAACAATTTTAGAAGGATCAATCTGCTTACCATACGCCACATTGACATAAATCGCATCACGTACTCGCATAAATTGACTTTGATATTTTACATTCATGCATACACTTCAGTTGTCCTTTACTTACGATTTTGGATGTAAATTTCTGCTGAGAAAACTCTAAACAATGATAGCTTGCTTTTGAACATCAATGACTGAAATGTCTCTTGCGAGATCGTCTTTGCCAAGCATTTACAATTCATCCATAAATTTTTCACGCTCTTGAAAAAATTCACAGCCTGGACAGCAGCATTCATGTCAATATATGAATTTGTAAAAGGTTTCCCTAAATTCCATCTGATTGTAGTTTCTATATTGCGTTAGAAAATTACTATGAGACGTTCAAACATTCAATTCGACATTATTCCAGATCGTCCACTAATCTGGTTATTCACCAATGGAATGGCTTAAATAAGCGTTCTTGAACTCCGTTATCGGTCGAGCCAGTCGAGCCACCCCGCTTATCAGTCAGCCAGTTAATATAATTCCAAATATGTTAAAATCTACTGATCTGTTTATTAAGGTGGTATTTATTATAAGTTTTCTTAAATAAAACAAAATTTTGAACGATGAAATCGAAACGATTACAGAACGAAAATTTAATGATCAAAAAATTGTAATCATTAAATTTGATAATTTTTGAACTATAAAACATCAGTCGCGTGAGTGGTTTGACATAACCTAGATCCGCCCCTGGACTGAAAGATTTCAATTTGAAGGCTTTTCATGAACATCACCTTCAAGGATATATTGATATTGCTAATTGGGTGAAGGGGTTCTTAATCATAGATGCATGTTATGATCAGTAGATAACAATACATTTCAGAAGAATTTAATACAGCATACCATGCATAAATGAATTAGAGCCCCCCCCCCCGCAATTAGCGATTGCAATACATCCCTGATCACTGTCATAACATCCCTCATTACTCTGCATGTTGAAAGTTATGTTAAATTTCCGAATGCAGAAAAGCTTTTATGGTAGTAATAAAGATCTACAATTATTGCAGGTCCTGACAATACTTTATGCAGCCGTGATGAGTGGTGAAACTATCACAATATGTTTAATTTCTAAAGGTCGTCTTATTCAAACAACCTGTATATCTGTGCGAAATTATATTTACACCCTATACTGTAATGATATTTTCATACACGTGATTCAATGATGGAGAGAAGACTAATCTGTTACTCGCTTAGGAACGTATTGTGCTGTGAAAACTAGTGCATCAAAACTACTGATGTGGTAGAAGAGAGGTTGACAACAATTTGAAACACGTTGAAAGAATGATCGTTGATGTCATACCAGCATGCTAGTTGATTTTTATGTTTAACATGAACGATGGTACGTGCAAGAAAAGGTCGTAAAGACATTTCTGATAAGTAACAATATTTTCAATTGTAGCCATGTTTCATCAAATTTAAGCTATCTATCCTCTTGACCAAGTTAATTATTTACAAGAGAATGTTCATAGATTGTATGCGCTTAAACTAACTAAAATAGGTTTGACAAAAAACCTAAAGGAGACAGACATAAAAATTTTCCAACTAAAATTTCAAATTTCATTCTTTCTATCTTTGCAAAGTTGGCAAATTTCATTCTTTCTATCTTGGCAAAAAAATTTGCGAAGAGTCTCTGCCACTTTTGTCTAAAAGTATCCGACTTTCTCCAATTTTTTAAAAAAATCAAAGGGAGGGCAGCTTTCGTCTCTGCTGCCGTGCCCTATCAGCCTATGAAACTGTCAAGTCACGTAACAATTATATGTTAAGTCAAAATTAAAACAAATTATCAAGCAGTTCAAACTATAGCTAAATTGAGATAGTTCCTTCATACCTACATGTAGCAATAGCATTTTTCTAAATTTAGATGCTTTAATGCATCGTTTAGTCCAAAGACTAAATAAATTGTTTCATCATCTCGTTCATGCGCACAAACTCCGTACCCAAAAGCTATTTGACTTTCCGTGACCTTATCGTAGAAATATATTAACACTCCGGAATCTCCCTCTTTCAGAAAAGGACGTACGCATTTAATGGCGATAACGTTCTTAAATATAAAGCGATCAGTTTCTGGGCATGTAAGCGTAAAGGTGATATCCAAAATCTCTCCTGTTGCGCCACCATCATATTTTGTAACACTGGCTCCTCCTTTCCTCAGTTGATCTGCAACTCTTTCCCATAATTCTTTCCAATCAGGCTCTTCGATGGTAAAATGGTCGCAAGAAATCATTTCTTCGTCAATAACTTCAATGGCCATAATGTCAGTGTTTTCGTTAAATGATTGACGACACGGAGATCCAAGTTTTATTTCTTCATCCATTAAAGGAAGATAATAATATTCGTTCTCGTCTGTTATTTCTCCTGTAGAAATTGTCTCGTATATTTGCTTTATTTCTTTCCAGTCCTCGGAAAAATTAAATTCGTAACCAGCTACTCGTCGGTCAGTGATACAGCTAGTGTGGAAGCAAGTCAAGGCGTAATGTGTGCTTTCTTTTCTACAAAACATTGTGACTGTACCTTTTGCTCTTGTTTCACATTCATCGTCAATTTTTCCTGTCAAAGGATTAAAACTGTTCTCTTTTTTTACTACTTCTAGGTCTGATAACCATCGAAATCGCGATTTCTTTGGTTCTGGTTCAAATTCAAAGTAAGGAGAAGCTTTCCATCTAAAAGTTTCATCAATTTCTTTTCTTAATGCATCTTCATCATTTTGTCTTTCAGCTGCCACTGTCACATACAAAGCAAGACGAGGTTTCCATCGTACACCATATCCACCACGAATCCAAGAAAAACTACAAATATGACATTTAATAAGTTAGACACAATACACACAACACGTATTATTCGGATTAATTTAACAAAATCTCCACTCATTTCATGTAAGTATTAAAATCACACTAATTAGACAATACAAAAAAGTTGTTCAGAAGTGAATGCTAGCGTTTAATCATGTTGTTGATGATGTTATTACAGAAAATTTGCCACTTGATTTGTAGTTTAAAGGCAAAAAGGAAAAATAACGCACAGTGGCTCAAATTACTCATTAATTTACTGAGCCTACTTAGTAACTTAGTGAGCATCCTTTCAAATTGACTAGCTTGAAAAGGCCTACTCAAACGTTCATGTGTTACTATTTGAAAGAGAACAGTTTCTTTGTATGGCAAAAAATCTTAATATTGTCTTAAAGATAGCGTTCGCCATGATGAAAAGTTGCCATTAGTATAGCCTATATGTAGTTCTCACAATTACAGACATTGACACAGATGGGTTGTTTGCGAAAATGCAACGTGTCATAAATATTTATTTTACACTTCTTTTTTGCTTCTAGAACTACAGCTAGGCTGTCTCAATTGATAACAATAAGGCCTAGTTCAAACGTTGACCTTTACATGAATCGAACGCATATAACACTAAAGATAATAATGAAGTTCATCTCATTTTTATGTTTTTAATGCGTTCGGTGCATGTTAACTTCGACGTTTGAACTAGGCCAAATACATACGAATTGCATTTATGCACATTGCAAATCCCTAGCATTAATTTCTTCCCATGATGTTTACGTCTCCTTGGGGATCAATTACTGCTGAATTATGCAAATTAAAAAGGCTGAATTAAAAGATGAAAAGTGTTTTGAGACACCCTGTATAGGGCATAAAACTAGAGCTATTTGATAAAATAAATTGTATGAACACAATTTACAAACACGAGTTCATACGGCGTTTGAGTTATATCGTATGCGTTTGAAACAAGCAATTCTTTTGTTCTGTTCTTAACTGAACCATTAGTAACGGAACTCATAAGTTTATTACACATTTTGGGCGCTTGTCTTCATAATCATGGGAAACACATTTTTTAAATCCCTAAAGCGTAATTTTTTGCACAACAATTAAATACTAATGTATAATCTCTAGCATACAAATTATAGAATTAACAGCTTTTTGATAAACCCTGTACATAGGTTATAGTCGAAATTTTTCATTTTAAACATGCTCTTCAACCCAATATTCATAAGCAAGACATTTGGAAAAGATATATTGAGACAAACCTCCTTAATATATCATGAATTTCGTCACGAATGCCGTAGTATTCGTCAAGAAAATTTTCGATAAAGAAATCGTCGTCATTCTCTATATCATCATCTGGAATTGTATAAGATTTCTTCATTTTGGTAGTTGTATCCCCGGTAAGATCTGAATCTTTCATTTCTTTTACTGTACAGTCGATGCCTGTAGGTAAAATTAAAGCAATTACGAAATTGTAAATATCTTACAATGATTATAGATGGTCGATAGTGATGAGTTTTTAAACATTCATGATTTCTTAACGTAAGCGATTTTATGCACAGCTAACCAATAGGATAAATTATACCATGTAAAAATACTTATACCAAAATAAGAAAAGCGAGAAACAAGGCTTAAAATCAAAAATATTATTTGTGTATAAGTTATAGCTACTAATGAGGTGTAATGTTGGCAAACTGATCCAGGCAGTTTTTCTATCTGGAAATGGGAGGATGAAATTTCGTATGCATTAGTGGTATCACAAATGCACTGACAATTTTCTATTTCGATGCAATAGAGAGAAACATTTTTTATTTGTAATAACAACAGGGCATAAAAGACAGGTGAGCATGCAGAATTAGTATTCTATACAACACGTTGGATACATGAGAACAATTCTTAGAAAAATAACATACAACAAATAATTCACGATATGTTTCATGTTTTTCTAACTGCATGTACAATATGCTTAATTGATTGGCAAACAATTTAACTGTAAATGATACATGCTACATAATTAAAATAAGACTACTTCCAGGCTCGAGCTCACTGCAGCCAATCAGATTCAATTTCTTTACACTATTTAGAGGAATGCGCAGTAATTTACAGTAGATGTGGGAAATATTGATATTGAATTATCCAATAGAAATCATTTATGAAGAACTTTGATTGGCAAACAATTTAACTGTAAATGATACATGCTACATAATTAAAATAAGACTACTTCCAGGCTCGAGCTCACTGCAGCCAATCAGATTCAATTTCTTTACACTATTTAGAGGAATGCGCAGTAATTTACAGTAGATGTGGGAAATATTGATATTGAATTATCCAATAGAAATCATTTATGAAGAACTTTTTTTATATTAACGTACGTTTATAGTTGCTAAAGGAGGAAAAAAATTTACAATAGAAATTATATATTTTGTTTCAGCCTAGAGCAATAGTTACCAGTATTGCATTGTAGTTGCCAGTGCCTTTTGCATGTATTACTTTATTAAAACTAATGACAGTGATTCAGTTATCTTTATAACACAAATAAGTGTTTTTTAAGATTTTCATCATTATGATTTCTGAGCCTGTAAATATATGATAAAATTTGAGAAATTTGAGTGGGGTTAAGCACCCTAAATAGAATTTCTAGGGAGGAGACTGAGGCCCCTAAGCCTCCCTAAACTCTACCCCAATCCGCCAAATTAATAATACTGGTTAGAAAAAACGTAATTATTTTTAAAACAAGGAAAATAATGGGACCACACATTTTCAGTGTTTTCTGAAAAAATATGTTTTTATATTTAATTGTGCTAGTTTGGCATATAACGGAAATTCAGCCTCGTGGTTGACAACGCTAATTTAAAAACATCAATACAAAAAACTACGTACAAAGACTAAAGTGACAATTATCCAAATATCGTACTCATGTAAATTGCGTCCTGCACTTAAATGCCAGTTTCAATGTCATCCAAAATCTTTTTATATTAATTATTATGTCAAAATACGTGTTAAAATTACGGGAAAAATCTCTCAAGAAGATATTTACCTCACATATTGTTTCAAAAAAATCTAAAAACATTTTAATATATTTTGAAATTCAAACTGGAAATGTCATTCACTAAGGGCAATATGTTTAATCATTAACGTAAGCGAAATCTTTTAGAAACTAACACATAAATACCTTGTTTTCTGTATTCTAGGCCGTATAAAGTTGAATCTGAAACATAAGGAGTTGACAAATCTTTAACAATGATTTACATAATATCATCTGCAGTAAAATGTTATGAAATGAAAATATTTTAGGCGCAAATATCATTAAAAACATTCACGTTTAGAAATCATAGGCAAACTTCTATTTTGTGTTTAAAATATTGTCTTGTTTTTAAAAAAGCCTTCGCTGAATTTCAACTTCACGAGCACCCGCTAGCAATATAATTTACCTGACAGCGTTACTGTCATAACACTCTAAACTATTTATCGTGTATAATATTTTGACGTTCCCCAAATGAATTCTGTTCCTCTCAATGTCAAATGTATAATTATATTTGTTTGCTAGTTCAAAATCAACATTCAAAACCATTTTCGTGTTTATTACAGCTAAAATAAGAACTGCCAGCCCCTTTTGTAACGTTTCCCACTTTTTATAGCTGTAAAGAAGGAAACCATTTTGATATTTTTACCAAGAAAAAAACAATCATTCACTTCAAACAATCCTCTGTCTAAATTGCAATTCGTCATGTAGCCAATCACAAGCCTTTTTTATTCTACCTTGTTTCCTGTTGACATGTGCGCCCGGTTTACTTTTGCAGTCTCGAAATGAATAGACACAGCAAATGCTAAAATGCTAATGCTAAAATGCAAATGCTAAAAAAATTTAACGGTCTAATAATTCTAGGAAAAGTCCTAGCGTTTTTTTTTAAAAAGCTTAGGCTTATTTCAAATGTCGAATTTTATATGAACCGAACACAATTAAAACAAAAGATAATGAGGAGGTTCATCTCATTTACTTTTACTTTTAATGCAGAAAATTGTCAACAATTTAATAAAGTGATAGTCGACAGAATATTATTTGTTTTATGCCATAAGCAATTAAACAGTAGCGGATCCAGCGTACATCAAAATTAATTATAAATTCAAAGTACTTTCAGAAAAACAATATTTGTTTTCAATTTCTAAAGAATATAATTTCACCAATAGTTACGCCTCTAAGGGACTTCGAAATGTAAATACATGGTAAAACAAATGCTATGATCACCAAGCATAGTTAAATATTGCATATGTAAAAATTGTCTTCTTACCTGGCAACAATTTGATATTGTCGATTAACTGACACGAATCAATCTCGTTAATTTCGTTACATGACGAATAAATTTGGTCAATTTCAAATTCTAAAGCTTGTTCGGACAAATATTTTGTTTTGTCGTTTTCTCCAAGCAAAGAGCAAACGGATATCAGATTGCCCAAAATTGTGCCTTTGTTAAACGGCTGGTTGGGAACAGATATTTTCGTTTTGAGTAATAAAGCTCGTTCAAAATAATGTTTTGCCATCTCATATTCTTTCAAATGACTATAAGCACAGCCCAAATTGTTGAACGTTGCAGCCATATTGAGAAATTCAGCTATAGAATCGATATCTAAGGCTCGTTCATACAAATCTTTTGCTTTGTCGTACTCTTCCAATCTCATGTAAACAAAACCCAAGTTGTTGCACATTGCAGCATAAAATACATGATCGGGACCAGATACTTTGGCTTGAATGTCTATAGCCTGTTCGTAAAGATCTCTTGCTTTGACGTATTCCCCATTGCTGAGATAAACTGAACCCAAATTGTTGTATGTTGTAACTGTGTTACCATGGTTATAACCAAAAATTTTTGTTTTGATTTGTAAAGCTTGTTGGTAAATTTCTTCTGCTTTTTCGTACTCTTCTATTTTACTGTAAACCGAACCTAGATTGTTGTACGTTGCCGCAAGTTTAACATGGTCAGGTCCAAACACGGTTGCTTGAACTTTCATCGCTCGTTCATAAAAATCTTTTGCTTTTTCGTAATCTCCAATTTCTGTGTAAATCGAGCCCAGATTGCTGTACGTTGTAGCAATATTAACATTGTCAGGACCAAATGCTTTTGTTTGAATTTCTATGGCTTGTTCGTAAAAATCTTTTGCTATTTCGTACTGTTTCATGTCATGATAAACTAAGCCCAGATTGTTGTACGTTGTTGCAATATTAACATGGTCAGGACCAAATGCTTTTGTTTGAATTTCCATGGCTCGTTCATAAAAATCTTTTGCTTTTTTGTTCTCTCCCATATCTTTGTAAACCAAACCCAGATTGTTGTACGTTGTTGCAATATTAACATGGTCAGGTCCAAATGCTTTTGTTTCAATTTCTATGGCTTGTTCGTAAAAATCTTTTGCTTTTTCGTACTCTCTCATATCTTTGTAAACCAAGCCCAGATTGTTGTACGTTGTTGCAACATTAATATGGTCAGGTCCCAATGCTTTTGTTTCAATTTCTAAAGCTTGTTCACAAAAATCTTTGGCTTTCGTATTCTCTCATATCTTTGTAAACCAAGCCCAGATTGTTGTACGTTGTTGCAACATTAATATGGTCAGGTCCCAATGCTTTTGTTTCAATTTCTAAAGCTTGTTCACAAAAATCTTTGGCTTTGTAGTATTCTGCTGTGTCATAATAAACCAAACCCAAATTGTTGTACGTTGTTGCAACATTAATATGGTCAGGACCAAATACTTTAGTTTCAATTTCTAAAGCTTGTTCATAAAAATCTTTGGCTTTGTCGTATTCTGCCGTGTCATAATAAACCAAACCCAAATTGTTGTACGTTGTTGCAACATTAATATGTTCAGGACCAAAGGCTTTAGTTTCAATTTCTAAGGCTTGTTCATAAAAGTCTTTGGCTTTGTCGTATTCTGCCGTGTCATAAAAGACCAAACCCAAATTGTTGTACGTTGTTGCAACATTAATATGGTCGGGACCAAATACTTTAGTTTCAATTTTTAAAGCTTGTTCATAAAAGTCTTTGGCTTTGTCGTATTCTCATTATAAAATTGTTGTCGTTGTTGCAACATTATTCGGGACCAAAGGTAATTTCAGTTCAGAATTTGTCGTATTTGCCGTGTCAAAGTGAAACCAAGTTGTATAACGTTGTTGTAACTAATACTTCATTAATTTAAACAAGGCATGTCTGGCTGTTTAACCAACCATGTTGTTGCATCTCTTCAAATTCGTTCTTTAATTTATTAGGTTTGTCATGTCATATTAGGAAAATCTTTACTGTTGAATCGTTGGTTTTATACAAATGCATTGTTTTAGGTTGATGCGGATTCAGTGTGGTCAGGATCAAATAAGTCGTAATTCTTAAGCTTGTAGGTAAAAATTACTCCAGGAAACTTTGTTTCGACGAGAAAAACCACACCTGTATCAAACAAGACAGAGAACAAATAAAATAATTTGCAAATTTTAACGACTTACTTAAAATGTAGGCAAAAAATAGGTGGATGCATGCTACGTCACGGCACAGCCATGTTGGTGGTCAAATACAAAAGTATATTTTATTTATGCTATTGTGGCACCAGCCGGCGTGGGTGAGCCACATTATTTGATGATTCCCTGGTTGTAATCCAAGAATTTAACTGTTTTGGTTATAAATATGTTCTCAAACAATACAAATTTAATTGCGCAGGATGTAATTCCTGTTACATTAGTGAAACCACCCGACATCTACCCACCAGGATTAACGAACACATAACTTCCGACAAAAACTCACACATCCACAAACACCTACTAAAAAATTCAAATACACTGGATCATGTTTCACCATCCTAGACACCGCCAACACTCAATTTTCTCTAAAACCTAAAGTGGCTTAACACATACACAAACTAAAACCTGATCTAAACAAACTAATTCAACATTTTAACACCATTTTCCAATTGTAAATACTCAAATTTGTCTCTATCACACTCATATAATACTTGCCATGCAAATATCACACCTTATCTTTTTAGATTTATTAATTAAGACATATCGTGTATTTTATTATACATTCAACATTGTAAATGCTTAACTCATTCTCATACTGAAGATGACTTAATGTCGGAACATGCTAAAGGTTAAAAATTTTGTCGTTTATTTAAAATGCTTTCTCAAATAATATTGCTTCAATTTCAAACTAAACTTTTTAAATAAATTCACTCGATGATAAAGTTGGTTGGTTTGTTGGTCGTTTAAACATAACTCAATGTTACGAGTATAATAGAGCAATAATAAAAATAGGTGCACACTGTGTCCACGTGGGTAGCCTTGACCACAGCACAGTATACGGAACAAACAGTAGTCAGTAGCTCCACTTTATTGGGCAACTATGTGCTGTATTTTTCATTAAATAGATTACTGGTGGCAGCTAGCTATCTGTTACGTATTTGTTATCTGGTTCTTACGTCATTGTAAGAATGGCTAACCTGACGTTTACTCCTCATTTGACTCTGAAGATGACTACCACTAAGGTTGTCGAAACGTCAGTCAACAACAACAAAAACAGTCCTTCTCAGGACTACACCAACCTGGACGATCTACATTTACAAACATGTAACGATACTCCCGGGTTCAAACCATTTACTTTAGGACTATATATTGTCGGTGATTCCGTTCCAAGTTGAATTTTTATGTTTATTGTTCAAAAGCGAAGGTATTGCACATGGTAAATACATCATTGCTGATGTAGTTATTTTCTATAGGACCATAGCTTGACTCTAATCATATATTTGAATTCTTCTTCATTTTTGACAATCAGTTAATTCTAAATCGCCATCATTACTAATTGAAATAAATATAAAGAAAACTATATCCTATCTGCTTTACATTCCCGACACCCAAACACTGACAAACAGGGTGAGAGATAAACAACGCGACTTATGAATACCGAACAAAATACAAGCATTGACTGCACACTACACAGTGTATCAAGTTCCTTGTATTTTTCGCCCAAATGATATATATTTGACGTCTGAAATCACCACTAAAGCATACAAACAAATGAATTATATCTTCAGCTGCTAAGTTTTGACTATCGCCAGTAAACAGAGTGCGGATTATACGCTGAAAAGCATAGAAAATTGTAGAATATCATAAACATTAAATGACGCGTAATATATTACTTTCGTTATTAAAATTTTACATATTTAGAAATATGATATTACTGCATGTGCACACACACACACAAACAGACGAACACTTTTTCAGTATAACACTGGTAGAAAAACCACATTTCAATTGAATTCAATAGCTTGACCCCGCTTTTATGTGGATATAAGAGACCGTTCTATGTGAGAATTCTAGTACATCGAACTATTGCCAAACATTTCTCAAAACAAAGCAAGGCTTTCCAGATATTTATTTCAATCAAACTTTTAAATCCCGATTTAAGTATGTAATAACATGATAAGTTGTAAAACATGAGAAAAAATTATAAAATTATGAGTCATGTTGAAATTTTACTTGAGTAAAGTGTTTTTAAAAATACCTTTTTCAATTGAAACCTTACGTGCTTCTCCGTCGTAGTTAAGTTTGACAAAGACTATACTATGTTGCATATCGAGTTGCATATTATAACTCGTGATTATCTTCCGCTCGTTCGATTTATGAGTGAAACTACGGCTCCCGTTTACTCTATATACCGGTTGCTATCGCAGCAGGTTAAATATTCTTTGCATTAAAAGGCAGTGAAATTGTTCAACGTCAGAAACACAATCAAATAGACTAAATCTATCAGTTTAATAAGCTTTCACTCCGAACAGTTAACCTTTAAAGCAAATGAAAATATCGTGATCAGCGAATCCGGTATAGTGTAAATGCAGCCTAAGAGATGAAAACCGACGTTAAGTCAAATATTTAGCAAAGTTTGTCTCGTGAAGTCCGTAATCATTCTGATAACAGGTAATCGCATATTTTGAAAAACTTTGGCGGATTGTCGCCAAAATTTCGGCTACTCATACTTAGTAATGACAATATTAAATATTTAACGACGAACGCGCAGCTGTAGAATAGCCAATTTTTGACACCGACGAAAAACAACTATGGATAATGAGCTTCAAAACTCAAAATTTTAATGAATATAACTGTAAAATAAACAAAGCGATTATAGACTTACGCAGTTTTGACATGAACATTTCCACAATTTCAAAAATCAAAATGGGATAATTACTTCTTAGTCTGACAACGATATGTATCCTTGTATTTATTTAAAAGTTAACTTCTCTTTCAGTACAAACACATCATCAATAACTTACCGTTTCTCTGGAATACGATGTATTCAGTAATTATTCGCGATTCGATTCCCACCGCTTACGACCAGATGTTTTTCACAGACCAAAATTCTTCATCGAACTGTGTCATCGAACTGATCGAAGATATCATATTTAATTATGCATTCTTCTAGGAAAACGATTGGATGATACATGTCAACGTATTTCTAAGTGTTGTCATATCTGGAAATATTAATTCATTCAAGTGCAGTCTTACCACTGATATGTATATTACACTGGACAACGCACCATGTATAAAACATAGTAAGATAATTGAAGCCAGAAGTTGGCTCATCTGATTATGACCTTCGTGGGGGGTATCGGTCTCACTTTACTATACTTTTGTATTACAAAATCACAGTTTTAGCGTTTTTATTTGTTCTATAATTTTTTGATTCGAACAAGATTTTTGTGAAAGGAACAGAACAACTGGCAAAGATATTTAATCCTAAAAAGTTTGTCTTCTTGGCTTTATAATGGCAGAAAATTGAGATGGTACGAGGTCGACCCGCATTGTTTTGAAACAAACTGGAGATTACATGATGCTGCTGCTCTTATAAATTGTAGAAATAAAACAAAAAGCAGAATCCTACTACTGCTACCATAATTTCATCTGCAATGACGTTTATGGAAGATTGCTACAAATTTACTTATTTAACAACACTTTGTTATTCACATCGCTAATATCATAATAATTTCAAATTATATCTTTATTATATCAGTGAAGAAACAAAACAAATCGACATAGAAAAATAATCAGAAAGATATTTTGATGAACCATAGTAAGTTGAAAACGGTATCATCAAACTCTACGAGATGTACATCATCAAAATATGCAAATTAAAGTACCTCTGTTGTCATTAAGCGAAGTAAAGTTTTCAACCAGTTCCTATGTGAACAACTTCAATATCGATGAATATGTTGAAGATATGAATACCTTAGTTCTTATTCTGTTGTAAATTTGTAATTTTAGTATTCATCTTCTAAAAATGCCTCACACGGCTGAAATTGTCCTCGTCACCTTCAACTTTCAAATTTCAATACAACTTGCCATCTTATTTTTCAGTCGTTACAAAGCCAAAAAACAGAGCTTCAGGGTTAAAACTCTCTACCGGTTTTCCTCTACATGTCATAAAAATTTTGCCTCAATCAGAAGTTTGTAAAAGGAATGAAAACGTGAAAACTGTGATTTTGTAAAACAAAAGTATAGTAAAGTGGGACCGATACCCCCCATAAAGCCAGTAGCAAATGATCGATCTTCTGGCTTCAATTTTTAGCAAGAGATGCATTATCCAGTCTAATATACATATCAGGCAATACGATTTCTCACTGCAATTTTATAAGGGTAGGGTAAAACGCGGAAACGGAATGGCTGAAGCGGAAAGACGGAAGAGGAATGGCTGAAACGGAATAGGGGGTAAAACGTGGAACAGAGAGTTATAAAATGCTGTATATGGTTAAATAATTATTTGCCACCATATACATATGGATTGTCCAGTTTTAGATATTGAGCGCATGTGAAAGTTAACAAAAATGAAAATTCATTCCGTGCGTATTTGCAAATTGCAATTGACTCGCTAATCATCGAAGGCATAGTCTTCACAAAACGTTGTAAACAATTCATGAAAATAGTCATAACTAAAAAGCTCAGGATACAAGACAAATGCAAGCTTAGCATGCGATCACCAATTTCAATTATATTTCGTTCATGCATACGGTACGAAAAACTTAAACTTAGTAAGAGCAGTATACTTGTATTTAATCAGATTAGTGTATTTACCGTAATTTATTTATTGCTTGATTCATTTCGCTCACGGCACAAAGCAAATGAGCAAATTTCGCTTTCCAGTCTTTTACAATTTACAAATATTTTTTGTGCGAATTTACATGATCTCAAATGACAGCAAATACTCACACAATATACCAATCAAATATATGAGCAGGAAATACAATTAATTATTTTCAGATACTTGCAATGTGTTAAGTATTTTTCTTCAAAAAATGAAACATTGTTTGCAGGACACAAAATACTTGGAATGTATATTCTTTTGAAGAAGATACTGGAAAATGTAACAACAAATATCAAAACCGGTTGTATATTATTTTAACCAGTACAAGTTACGTAAGTGTGTTAATTTATTTAAATGGACGACATTTCATTCACTTTATCAACTGTTTTAAAAAATAAGTTTTTGCCAATTTTTCATGTAAATAAAACACACTTATTCACAAGTTGGATCTCTCTTTTCTTACCATTGAAAACATCGCACTTCCATTAAACACTTTATTGGTTATTATCAAACCAACTTTGTTATTATAATGAAGTTGATGCTAATTTAACCGCGAAAGTCTTTGTGCATATAATTATGCAAGCTTGAATATGTTCTTTGAGACAACAGGAGGTTAGAACATGCATTTTCTCTGTTGTAAACACAAAAATCTGTCACTAGCGTTGTGAGAATGCATTATTCGGGTAATGTGTTTATTAGTATACGTCGAAAAAATAAATACTACATTCAACGTTAATTACAATATCTACTCGGATGTAACGAAGACCAGATTAAAAAGATTTTCCTGTTGTAAAATTCAGATCCCATACGTTTAAAAATAAAACACTTTGTTGCTGGGGAAAAGCAACTTTCAAATCGTGGGAAAGTGCAAGTCATACTTAAAATCTATACTAATGTATATTTATAACTATTTACCATATACAGCATTTATTACTCTCTATTCCGCTTCTGCCATTCCGCCATTCTGTTTCCGCGTTTTACCCCTACCCAATTTTACGACGGAAACTCTCTTTTTTGTTGAGAAATTCTTGTTTAAGACTGAAACCACAGTCATTTGTCCGTTTGTCAAATGTACTAGGCAAATATACAGGACGAATAAAAACGAAGAACTTTACCTATCTTTATAATTTCAATGCTCTGTCCTAACCTTTTTCTACGAAAGGATAAAACTTCGTCATCTAAATGCATTTATTACATATCTTTGTTATGTAAAAAGTTTTGTTTGCCTTGGAATTTGACCTCTAAAACCAAAATATAAAAAATAATGTAACTGTAGAATTAGCTAAGTGATAAGGAATTGAAATTTTAACAACAAGATGGTTTCTAAAGGTTTCTTTGTACACCAAATAGTTCTGAAACAAATATCAAATTACATCTCCTCTTGGAGCAATGCCTGTAAAGTTTTTACCAGTATTGCGGTTTTTGTAAGTGGAAAATGTAACACTTATACATTGTAGATTTTTATATGCACGACAAAGATAGTCATAAAATGTCTTACACATCACGTCACACGAGTAAAAAAATTATGAAAAACTTCGTTTATCACTCTTAATATACTTATATGGTCTACAGAAAAGCTGCATCGATTGATTTTTCTTTTTAGATCTGATATTTCTCGGCTCTTGTTATTATAATTTCATGAAAGTTTATTACCAACTTCTCAAGTTCTCAAATTTTGTCCTATAAATAATCATTTGCTAAGGTGTACCAGCTTTTCCACTATAAAGCATGCACTAAAAACACGTGTCTTCCACCCCCTGCATAATTTTTATGTTCAAACAACTGTATACATGCCCCAGACAATACAATGGAGCTCAGCTTTTGGTCAGACAATTTAGTGAAATTAAGGTTCTGGAATTTAACTAATATTACCATCACATTTTGGAATGCAGAAACTTGTTCCACCCGCTGATATGTTAAGGAAAAAAGCCCCTGTGTCTATCTTTCCCGGATGAAATACTCAGCTCATAATCCATCATAGTATTTAAATTTACAGCTTAATTCTTTATTTTCATTCTTAACAAATTAATCCTTATGGCCTGCTAGGATGAATAGAATAATATTTGGAATCTTAACAACTAAATTTTAAAATTTTTCACTAATGAATTCTACAATCTATCTAGATTTAAAAGTCCTGTTTTCTTTTACAATAGAGACAATGTTTTTGTTTGACAATTTTACAAAAAAACACATTCGAGGTCAGTGGCGGATCTAGGGTTGGTCAAAATGAATTATTGTCGCACATTTTGGAATATATTTAAATTTCTTAGCCCCTGAGAGACAAGTCCATTGGTGCAATTATATTCTTTAGAAATTCAAAACCAATAGTGCTTTTCTGAAAGTACTTTGAATTTAAAATTACGCAGCTTTACTATATTTTGCTCGCTGCTGCGTAATTTTACTATATTTTGCTTACTGGTCGAGATGTCTTAAACAGGTTTGAATGAAATACTTATAGTTTTGGTCAAAACAATTTTAGGTCCGTTTGGAAACATGAACTTCAATGCAATGTTTTGTCGAACGATGGGCGGGTGAAGTGCAGTTTTAAAAAATACATGTAAATCGTCAAAAGTGCAAATTTTTTGTTTCATTAACCCGAAACACTTAAAAAAATGTTAATCAACAATCGACGCACAATATAGGTAAAAATTACTAAAAACAAGCGTAAAAATGAGTGGAGCTAGCACAGTTGATTTCAAATTTCCTAGATTTCTTCTATCTTTGTTTAAAATTGCCCGAATCTTTTCCAACTTCCGCCAAAAACTGCCCGACCTTCAATTTCTTAAAAAATTATGGAGATTGTGCAGTTCACACTAAAATGAGATCATTTCTTTATGCCAGCATGTAGCAATAGCATTTTTCTAAATTTAGATGCTTTAATGAATCATTTACTCCAAAGACTAAATAAGTAGTTTCGTCGCCTCGTTCATGAGCGAAAGCTCCGTACCAAAAGCTATGTGAAAGTGTTATGTTTGTTTTCTTTTCTACAAAATATTGTGACTGTACCTTTTGCTCTTGTTTCACATTCATTGTCAGTTTTTTCACTTGAAGGACGAGGGCTGTTCTCTTTTTTTACTACTTCTAGGTCTGACAACCATCGAAATTGCGATTTCTTTGGTTCTGGTTTAAAGTCAAAGTAAGGAGAGCTTTCCATCCAAAACTTTCGTCAATTTCTTTTCTTAAGGCATCTTCATCATTTTGTCTTTCAGCTGCCACAGTCACATACAAAGATAGATAGGGTTCCCATCGTACACCATATCCACCACAAATCCAAGAAAAACTAAATAATGTTATTCAATATAGTTAGTTATATAATAACGTTAAAATTTAAGCAATTTCATTGGTCAAAAAGACAGAGCAGTAAGCAGACCCGTGAACTCAATATTTAGATAACTGGAATGATACCTGAAGCCAAAAATTGAAACCAGAAAAAAATCTTTGTCGTCATCACTCGTCAGGCCTCTGGCCTTCATAATCATTTGTATTTTTGCATCTTGGGGCATCCACAGACTGGGTATTTTGTCGTCGACAACTTTTCGACTACATTTAATTGTCGACCACGAAAAGCCTTACTACTGCAAGTATTAGGTATTCTTCGCACATTTTTCTTCCGTTCGTTCGTTAAATCAAAGTTACAAAAAACTTTAATTTTAAAATTATCTTTCATGTTCATTAACCAAAAGCATGCGTGCGCATCTTAAAATTTTTATTATTCACTCCCCAAATTAAAAAATGTTCTAAATTGTGACGTCATATCCGAGAAAATTCTTAAACGGATAGACATCAAATCCAGGTGTTTTACACATTGAACTAAAATACATGGAACGCTATCTGTAATACAAAACCCTAATAGTGTGTTTTCAATCAATTATTACTCCGCGAGAGAATCTCAAAACACTACACACGCGTGTCTGGGGTAAAATCTCGCGTGTCTGGTGTAAGATTTGGCTTCAATTATTTGCGTCAGGTAGCGTTCCATGTATTTTAGTTCAATGGTTTTACAGTACATAGGTCGCGTAAAAACACTGGCTCTAGTAAAATGGGAGTCAAAAATTGTGTGCTGCAAAAAGTTTTCTGATGTTATTTTGTCTTCCAAAACAAAACTTAAACGAAATTGATTAGTTATCGCTTGTTCATTCTCACAGCCAATCTCATATTTTAGCACGTGACTTAGGCTAGCCAAAAGCATTTCTTCAATCCTATAGACCAATTTTCCGAAAGTTTGAAAAACAAAAACAACTTGTTTGCCAATTAAATCTTGGGATTTTTTTTTTAAAACACAAAAAAAATAGATAACAATCAACCGAAGTCTGTTCAGCTATAGATACACGGGTATGACGTCATTTGTGATAAGAAAAAAAAGTGGCCACGAACCAGGATAACACGAACACCATGTATTCGATTTAAGTTCAATACAGTTGTATTGAACTAAAGTTGTTGAACTTACGTTGATGACGTTTTGACAACCTTAGCGGTAGTCATCTTTAGGGTCAAATGAGGGGTTAACGTCAGGTTAGCCGTATTTGTTATCTGATTCATGCGTCATCATATTGAGTGCATAGAAAAGGTGTAGGTGCGTCAATTGTGACTTGTCTTCGGGGATTAGTCTAAAGTTATGTGTTAATTGTTCGTTTTTTTGAGGTTGTGAATAAGTCGTTTGTATGGTGCTTGTAATTATTTTGATATGTTTAGCGGGTTTTGTTGAGAACTGAGAATTTGTAATCTAAAGAGAGTGTTAGCCTTGTTGAATGGTTTTTACGTATCCAAGGTATAGTTCTTAAAATTAATAATTACAGATGTTGTTTGTGAAAATGCAATGTGCCATTCTTTTAAAGTTCTGCTTAGTTTTATTTGGAACAACAATGGTTATCGTCGTTTTCACCATTCTTAACACTCTTTAATCCAATATTTATAAGCAAGATACTTGATAAAGATTTATTGAGACAAACCTTTTTAATAAATCATGAACCTCGTCTCGAATACTGTAGTATTCATTCAAAAAATTTTCCTCAAAAATATGTCGGCTCTCTTCATCATCATCAGGGGGTGCAACTGGTGTCTTCATTTCTGTGGTTGTATTAACTGTAAGAGTTGAATTTTTCATTGCTTTTGACGAAGAGTTGATGACTGCTGCTAAAATGAAAACAATCACAAAATGATATTATATTTCAAGATGATAAGCTGGTCGATGGTAGTGTGTTAGTTAAACATGAACCAATGTAGATTGAAGTGAATTCATTAAAAAAAATTTCACAAACTGATATTTTTGAGTTAAGTAAATACTAAATCTTATGCTGCATAATCCAAAAAGCAGGAAAGTGAAAAAAGCATTTGTTTTGCTTGTGATTAATCCAAATTTTAAACAAAACAAAACACAGTCTGTTGTTTATCTCTTTGCTGGGTACATTTTGAAGAAACACACTAACAAAATTGTTGTTAGTTACCAAAGAAGCCTGTTTAGGGGGTATGTTTTTAAAAAATGTCATACATGAGTTATCTACGATATGCTAAGCAGTTGAATTATTTCATAACCAACAACCCTTAAATATAACTAGTGACTTTGTACCTAGGACTCATGATTTTTAGTAGAAAGGGTTTTTTATGAACGTAGAAGCAGGGCATCAGGGGAGTGCCGCTTGTTCACAGCTACTTTGAATTTAATAAATTCTGATTTTATGATTGGAAACTTTAAACATATGAAATTGATTGATGGCAGAAAGTTAACAAATAAGTACAAATAACATAGACACTTAGGCTAGATATATTACGTCTTGTAAAAAATATTTGTGTGCAAAGTCGATTTTGTAAAAAAATTTCCTTTGTTGTCCTACATATACCTCCAGTGCACATTAGCCAAGGAGCCTGGATAGCGTTATCCACTGGATAGAAAATTTTTCTGAACGTTCATAAAATCTCTTATAAGTGAAAAATGTACGATTTGAACTGTGCAATCATTGAAATAAAACATTGTTTCCAAGATTACAAAATTTCTTTGTCCTAAGAAAAATATAAACACCTTTTTTACAAGTTTGAAAATTTTTGCTGTCCAACGGATAACGCTATCCAGGCTTTTTGCAACCGGCCCCAGGTAGTTGTAAACTCGCAATAGACATATTTCATCAAAATTCACCATCGTACAATCAAAAAAAACCCAGCTAAACCGACCACGTGCAATTGCAGCCCTAAACAGACACAGTTACCATTCCTCAACAAATAATTTTGAAGTTTGAAAGCAGTAAATTTAGCGAGTTTCGTCAATAACCAAATTGTTCAAACAATCATATACATTACAAATAAATACGATAGTGGTATCTTAGCTCAGTCAATCATTTTTTTCAAAAAATTTATCAAGTGAAAAACTTTACATATAGAACAAAAATATGTTCATTCAATGTTTGTCAATATCACTACAATTTCAAAACATAAAACGTACCTCTATTTCATTAAAAATTGTGCACTTCTTTATCGAATATGGCAATATGGCGAACAACAGTTGAAGTATAAATTGCACTACTTCATCTTAGCAGACTCAAACATGTCCAGTGGACCCAGTGCTAATTAGCACGGTATTGGGCAAGTGGAGGGTGCAAGCAAGTTGCGCTGTTAGTAAATAACTAGAAGTTGCAATCGCAAGGGGGGATTGCTGCCCCGACCCCTTATCTGGAAAAATTGCAGGGTTCAGAACGTAGTGACAGCCATTGGAGCCACGTCCGTGTACAGCATTCTAAGTGGTTTCATACATATGTTATGATTGGGTGATTAGAATGATAGACAAAGAAATTTTACATGCGTGTCTCGAACTTTTAGCTTTGCGTTGGCAAGGTTTATTTTGCCATGTGTAGAGTTTTCTTTCTATCTGAAGGCCTGTTTACACGTTCCGATTTGTCAGATCCTATTGTTTTGGTTCCGTCTTTTGATTGCTTGTTCAGACGGTCAGATAGTTGTTTTGATATTTAGATACGTTTAGATATTTATAATCTTGAGAGCAGCCATTTGTGTTGTCCATTTATCGATATATTTGCGTACTTTTCTTCTTGTTTCCAAGTCTTTTCAAACATATATTTGCTAGTCATTATATTCTAGGCTATTTCTATCCTCTTTTAGATTGACGGATCCGACTGTCGGAGACTAACTTTATATGTGCTCACACGATCCGTTTTTAGGATCTGACAAAACCGGATCCGACAAATCGGATCGAGTGAACGGGCCTTTCAAACGTGCCATACCTTATTTGGTATAAATGCAAACAAAGGCACGCGTTCTGAAAGTCGACGGTTGATTTCCGGCGAAAAATAGCTCCCGTGCTTTACATCTTATTTCATTTCACGTTTCAAATAATTTTAAAGATAAATTCATTACCATTTCAAACAAAAACAATTTTTTGATTCTTTTAAATGTCCCGATGGTTTTGATTCTTTTGAGTCTTTAAATTGCTTTTTGATTAAAAGTATGATACTTTGTTTACTCAAACGATCGATCGAACGCATGTTTACAAACGTAGAAGCGGACTATATTATAAAACTGTAGTTTTGTTTCCATCATTTCCTTCATAACATTTTGATAGAAGCTTTTTTCCGATGTTTCTATGCGACTGCGAAAAAATGATGAAAAGTTATCGCAAAGGGCAAACGTTTCATCGTATTCATAATTCATATTTCATGGTTGAACTCGCACCATGTGATTAAATTATTTTTGACGTTTTGTTAAATCCACACCGATATTTCAAGTAATAATAAAAGCTCGAACAAAAATAAATACATGCTTACACTACATTTTTCTCACCGTGTGACCATAGAGCGCAAGATAAAAAATGTGAACCGAGCTGGCTAAATACGGCACGGTGAATCCATTTCATGTGTTTTTCGCCTAACGAGATATATGTAATTGATGTCGGTAATCACTCGAGTTTGGTATCTACTGTATAACGTTGTTTAGGCCGCATATTTATTCGGATTCCAGACATTTAAAATCAAAGAGAAACTGACAGGAGTTCCGAAAGGTTCTACCTCATTGTGATTGTTCTTCCCCCCTCATTCCGTAAAAATCCCCCCCGGAAATGTTAACAGACAGACACAAATCGAGATTTTACCTCTATATAGGTCGAGTAGAGGAATGGGCCGAGAAATGTCAAGATTAGTGTGCTGCCACGCTGATGCGTGGCAGCAAAAATTATAAAATACACTCTATTACTAAACTATTTTCTTTTAAATAATAAACTCTTTTTATAGAGACTTCAATATTCTGCAAAAGTATTGCAGTAAGAAAAACGAAAAGCAGTGCGAACTGATATAGTAGGTGAAAGTGCAAAGCCTGTACAACAGCATGCATTTCTTACGGATCCTAGCGAAGTTAAACGAATGGAGAAGAATTTATTAGATCTTATGGAAAACCTCAATGAAGGAAAATTGCACGCATTTGGTATGGTTATGTTATTGTCAAAATATGCTCAAACTCTTAAGAGATGAATGATTGTCTTCTGAAATGATCTTAGAATTTACATAAATGTCATATAAAATTACTCAGTGATTCAAGAAAGTCAAGTTAGGAGGTTCTCTCACTCGTGTTTGAGAGACTATTTTAGACTGTATACCAACTAAAGTTTCAGCATCAGATCAGATTACTTCTGATGAAGACACTAGACTGAAGTATATAAGAACTAAAGATTTAACATCAGATCGCTCTTGATGAATACACTAGACTGGAGTATAAAAGGACTCAAGTTTCAATATCAGATCACTCCTGATAAAGACACTAGACTGAAGTATGTAAGAACTCAAGTTTCAACATCAGATCACTCCTGATAAAGACACTAGACTGAAGTATGTAAGAATTCTAGTTTCAACATAAGATCACTCCTGATGAAGACACTAGACTGAAGTATGTAAGAACTCAAGTTTAAACATAAGATCACTCCTAATGAAGACACAAGACTAAAGTATGTAAGAACTCAAGTTTCAACATCAGATCACTCCTGATGAAGACACTAGACTGAAGTATGTAAGAACTCAAATTCAAACATCAGATCACTCCTGATGAATACAATAGACTGGAGTATATAAAAACTCAAGTTTCAACATCAGATCACTCCTGATGAAGACCCTAGACTGGAGTATATAAGAACTCAAGTTTCAACATCAGATCACTCCTGATGAAAACAGTTGACTGGAGTATATTAGAACTCAAGTTTCATGAGCAAGAAATTAATAAATGTGTTCAACCATATTACATTGTTTCCAGGTAAGGAACAAACTCTTGACAAAATGGACAAAGTTCGTGAATCACAGGAATCTTTAGCTCAACTACATTTTGAATTGGATGTTGATGAATCACTTCGGTAAGTAGGGGATTTTGAAACACAATTTTTGAAATAGATAGATCGATAGATAGATAGATGATTTATTTTTTAAAACTGGCAGCCATATTGCTGAAATACCTTTAAGATTACATAGAATACATACATAAATAATATAACTAAATTACATCTTCAATGAGTTATTAGTTATAAAACTGTTTCTAAAACGTTTGGTATTAAAATTAGTATTAAATGAAGATTGAGTCCTAAGTTCCATAGTTAAACGTTCTAAACGAGGAGGCGAAAGGTCGTAAATCTGTGAAATAAAAATCATGAATCATGAATTAAAAACACTTTTTTCATGTATTCACTATTCATATTGATTTAACTCAAACTGATTTTAAATATCTATGGTTTGAGGCTCACTGTCAGTTTTGGGTTCAAAACATCGCTATTTCATAATCAATAAATTATAAACAAAATATAGAGTTGCAAGTAAAAAATTTTAATGCAAAAATTCATTGGCTGTAATGTTTGCTCAGTGACTATAAAGTTTGTTCATTAATTGTGTAGAGCTTTCCACTGGCTGTAGAATTTGTTCAATGGTTTTAGAGCTCAGTGGTTGTAGAGTTTGTAAAATTTTGCTCATGTTTTTAGAAAAGAACACGAAGAAGTAGGAAGAAATCGTAATCTTGAAAAACTCATGAAAGATGTGAGTATTTTAAGGATAGTAACATTAGCAACCGTAGTTTAAAGTATTTCAAGAACAAATGTACGTACATATCAAGTCCTGGCAACTTTTTCCAAGTCTTCAGTTGAGTAGAAATATTTAAAAGAACCGTCTTTAAACAAACGTTACTTGAGAGGGGGGAGAGTGTTTTCATTTATTCTGTTATGCCAGGCTGATTTCTTATGAAAGTGACATCGTTTTGAAAAGAAATTAGTCAAGCATAGTAGGATGTATGTTAAAATTCGCTTGACGCCATGCTTGAAAGATATAGAAATGAAAAAAGTTCATCAACGGTACTGCTCGACTGGTTTTCAGTCCTGAATTCTAATCAGTTGCCTTCCATTGCTGGCTTAGATCTGCTGTTAGCATGTAACAATAAATATAAATACATGGAACGCTACCTGTAATAGAAATGCCTATTAAAAAAATAAAGCCAAATTTTACATCCAGACACGCGATGATTTTGGCTTGTTTTTGTTTCATGGATGTGTTTTTCGTTGCGTGGAAAGACTGGTAACGACATCCATCATATTTGTTATTTTATGAAACTGCATCCACAGTTACTTACTTTTTCTCATTTTTGTGAGGAAAATGATACACATGTCATTCCTCTTGAGTTTTTTTGGTGTATCTGTGTGAAGTGTGAATGTCAATGGTTTAGTGGGTAGCCAGCCTGCATGTTTAGTTAGGCTATGTAAATATTCCTCTTTTTACTCACTGTATAAACAATATATTTCTAAAGAAGTAAATAACGACCATGTAAAATTTACCTGCGCAAAATAATATTTTCAAAGTGTTTTTTGAATGATTTTATGAGGTAAGAAATTAAGAATGCAAAGACTTGTCAAGGCTAAAATATGTATTCTTTTTTATTTTCAACTTAAAAAGTTAAGCTTATCAATGTATCTTTTACGCTGCTGTTCAAGCATAAAGCTTCACTCCATCTTAGTTTTTCTGCATTTAAAATCACTGGCATAGCCAGTCTGCAAGATTACCATTCTACTCATTTCAGAAAATCATTATTCAAGTCACTGCAATCAATGCTGGTGGTGCATCAATTTCTTTAAGCGCACATGTATGCGCATGCCTTGAAACAAGTTTTGGTTTCACCCCGTTGAATTATACTCTAAGTATACTAAACAGATACCTCTGGGGGGGCGGTGAAACCGTGATTTGTGGGTAGCGCCAGTCCTTTTAAAAACTATTCAAAAATTATCACTGTAAGTTTTAAAAACCTCTTATTTCTTGGGGAGGAGGTGAGGAGGGTTGAAAATTTTCAATGTATACTTGGTTTTGACCAATCATTGGACAAAAGTGTAGGAGTAAGCGTTCCAGATGTATTTTAGTTCAATGGGTTACCGGAGATAACGTTTTAAGCAAGCGTTTAGTTTTTTATCTTCCGTTCTATTTTATCCATGACTAGTTATTGTCAGACAAAATCTTCATCAAAACGATCAAAGCTAAGTTAGGAATTGCTTTTTTTGGCCTTATAGTCCTTAAAAGAAGTTTGCTGCAACGTTTCGACATGAAACGTTATAAAAAGTGCGTAAAAATTGTGTATATTTGAAAATGAACATCAATGATCGAAACCTGAGGACAGTGGCTCTAATAAATTTATTGTTAAAATTCATAGATGGCAAAGAACTCAAAATGTGTAAAAACTTTACATGTACTGGTATTTGATGCAGTTGCAGTTCAGAACACAACAAAAATGTAACTTAGTGATTTATATACAGTATTGATTGTTTTCATTCATCAAACTTATGCAAACTCAAGTGTTTGAAAACGCATGAAAACAGGCAAAAAAAGTAATGATAACGAACAAGCTAACTTTTCTCTCTAGAACGGTAAAGATAAACTATGGTATACTTTTTGTATAAATGACGTGCCTAGTTTACGTTTTGCTTGTTGGCAGATTCGGTCGAGTGCTTTGAGACAAAACGAGCAACAGTGGTCAACCTCATTTGGGATCAATTAACCTGCCAAAAAAATGTAAATAAGGCAAGTCATCGATAGGCTAAAGAGTTTCAGCGAGCGAACAAGTTTCTCACTTGACTAAGCTGGTAATAAACAACGCACATCATTCTTATGTGACTGACGAATAGCTCCTTCATCGATAGTTATAAAAGGCATAAAACAGGCAACCACAGCTGACTCGCTGTTATGAATTTTAGGTTCTTAATTTGATTTTCATCAAAAAATTGCATGACAAATGCCAAATATTACACATACTTTTCCTGCTCCTTTCTTAAGAGGGCAGTGGAAAATTGTGAAATTTTTGGAAAAGCAGTCATTTTCGGTAAATCTTGGCGGAAGAGGACGAAATCCGCCAGAGCTTTTACAACATCCAATATCTAAATCCACGCTTGAGATAGCTGCTCCAAATATTAAAGAACTCAATGGTAACCACTAATTCTGACAATACAGGGACTGTCTAAAGTAAAACCAATATCTTTAACTGATGGAACGGGATTGACTTCTATACCAAGTTATAGAAGATGAGTAAATTTTTGGGTAAAGTGGTCAACAACAATGGATGCATATCTAATGAATAACTTTTTATAGTTTTTGAGATGGCTGTACGGCGTCCAGCTTTTATTTCTTTGAAAAATAAGGAGAGGAACTGTTTCGAATCTTCAGAAAAGATTCCGAAGAGCTCAGTGGGGCTTAAGTGAGTGTAATGGCCCATTGTCAAAACAAATACAAAATTAACTTGAGTTAAAAGGTGTTTATTCTCATTTCATATATATTTATTAAGCAAAAGTAGTTTCTCAACACAAAAACTGTTACTAACTACATAATATAGTTAACTCTATATTATATAGGATACAAAATTTACATGGCTATGGCTATACCAACATATTGAATATTAGCAACATGATTTATACTGTTTACATTTATTTATGAATATGACTGCCAGAAATCTTTAACAATCTGTCCAAATATGACAGCTCCGAAAATATGGGTGACATGGTCCCTACTATCAGTAATCAACTCTGTAGAGGACTTTGCATTAAGGATTGACTTCAAGTTGTTTATGAACCAGTTTCTAATTTAAACTCATCACTTATAAATCATTATTAATTTTCCAGCATCATTCTAGTGTCGGACAAAGGCAGCCAAATTAGCGCTCATCTGACATAATTGTTATCTTAATTCATATTTTTAAATGTAAAATTAATACAAACAACTTACATTCTTAACTTCAAAACCTGTTTATATTAGATGTTAGTACTTTGTTTTCCACGCAATTTTGAATAAACATTCATTTGAATATTGACTATTATGTACTTCGTGTAATATTTATGCTTATGTAAGATCATTCTGACACAATTTTCACGAGTCAATAGTTCATTTATGCTGAGGTCTTATGAAATTTTAAGTAATCTATCACACAGCTAAGTATATTTCTTTGAAGTAATTTCAATAATAATGTGTTATATTTCATAACCAAAAGCCTTCCTGTATGGTTAGAAATAGATCCATTCTACCAGTATATCACGATCGAGGTTCACTACAGGGGAAAGTTTACTGGGGTAAATGTCCCAGTAGTTATATAGTTAATAGTTCAAAATGCCCTGAAAGAACTAGAATCTTGTATCCCAGAGATTGTTTACTCCTAATTACTTGCTTTTTCTTACGATTTTACTGGCAGTTTTATGAAAAGTTCCCTTGTCGAATACCCTTTGCACTTTTGCATAATGACTAATTTTACATAAACATCGACAATACAATACTTAATCAAACATACAACACAAAGTAGCTAACCAAAAAATTTAGGCTAAAACGTTCATACTCAATTCTCAATGGTGATTTGTGAAAGAGCGCAATTTTTGACAAAAACGTCCAGGAGCTTGCACTTGCTTATTTTTTTTAAAAAGGCATCAAGCAACATAAAATTCCAAAGACTATAAGCACTATTGTTTTTAAATATTTCAAAACTGTATCTTTGTCTGATTGATAATTTAGAGTTTAACACATACCTAAGTGCTGAAATTAGGTTAAACTTTCTTAAGAACATCTCCAAACATATTATGACACTCCGGGTTCAAACTATTCACTTTAAATTGTGTGTACATAATTGCTCTTTGATTAAACTTCATTTAAGTTCACATTAAGAACATTGCGCTCCGCTGTTGTTAGAATTTTTGATGAAATATGTAGAATCATTGAACCAACCATCTGTAACGACGTGGGGAGAATGGAATGACAATATTGCGCAGTTTCATTTTCCAAAGGAGGTTTGTCAAATCAAGATCACTAAACTTGAGTCCGCGTGTTCTGCACCCAAATAAGAAAATAAAAGAAGAAAGTCCATATTTTAAGATTATTAAGGTTGGTTAATATGTACTTTTATTGCTTGTGTTTAATACTTTATACCATTGTATGTATAATGCCAGTTGCAAATAATATATGAAATTCACAAATGTATAATACACAAATAAGTATACAAATACAGAAATACACGAATAATAAATGAAATATTGAAAATTTTCTCATAAAGAGGTTTTTCCTAGCTATATTGTTTTATTGAAAAAAAATTAAAGATAAAGTTCATTTTATGAAGAAATAAATATTTATCATGGCGGAAGTTAGTTTCAAACCCGATATCGCATCTTACCAAATCCATAGCACTTACGCTTTTTTGAAGTAGTAGTAATATCAAAATTTTTTTCATTATTTAAGTTTTTAATAACACTACTGTAAATTATACAGCCTACCAGTCCGTTTTCGCAGCAGTGAATATAGTCGCTTTTTTAAAAAAATGTTGAAAATGAGAACTATTGTGAACTTTAGTCGTACTTCTGAAGCTCAGAAGCTGGATAGCAAAAGCCAAAAACTGTTTTCTTAAAAAGATCAATCTAAAAGAAACAGCTTGAAGTAAAGATAAGATACAAAATAACTTAGCTTAAATACGTATAAATTATTGTGTTCAACTGCGTTTACGACTTCTTATAGGATTGTCAGATTCTAAATGTCAGATTGTAAATGTCATGAAAGATGTGCTTTTTGAGACACCCTTTTTATAGCTAAAATTGAAAAATGCTGACAGAGATTGAGCAAACGGAAATTAATTTTAGGTGACACAATTTTCAATGTGGCTAATGACATCGTAAGAAGTATTCGGTGGGAATCTTGTTTGAGATTTTTTAGTGTTTTACAAACTGTTTTTACTGGAATTATTTAAAAAAGACATAAAAAAGACACAAAAAGCGGTTCATGTCAAAGTATGGAAGACTTTATGACTTCCATACAAAATATTGAAAGCTTCTGCATTTATTAATGTACAATGAAACAATTTGACTTCAGTCTGAATAGTTCTTGATATCGTTCTTCACCTTATTGGCAATTGTCGACTATTTTCACGACATTTAAAATGGGCATATGTGATGATAACACCATCAAAAAATCCCGCTTTTTTAATGCTACGCGATTTGCATTGAATTGTTAACAGAAATTATGACGTTTTTGATTTGAACTACGATATCTGAATTAAATCCGACGTTTTAAACTCATTTTCTTTTACTTCAAATTTACTTGGTGTTATTTTCAAGACGACTGATAGTTAATACATAATCAATTTTTCTTACATGGAAAATAACGAAAAAGAATCTCTATGATGTTTAGATATATCATAAAAATTCAAAAACATAGGAAATGAAATGTTGACCTTTTTGACAATAAACAATTTACGGTATGACATTCTTGATAAGGAGTTCTTTGTTGGAATAATGTGCTCATTTTAACTTCCGTTAAAATTTCTCCAAGTATTCCAAATCGATTTTGAACACGTCTTTGCAAATGATATTCGTTGACTTGAAAGTCTGCATTAATGCATGTTTCATGATCTTTGAACGTAATAACAAATTCAAACAAGTAGGAAACTTTTAGAAATTGGTGAATTTGGAACTAGTTAAAATTCAATTGTACAATATAGAAAATTATAAAAATGGATATTATAAAGGGAGAAGTGTTATAATTCTATTTATTCAATATTCAAAGGACATCATTCAACAATCTACCTATCTTGGAGTACAAGTCGCCAAAATCGATGGGCGTTTCAGCGAATTGCCACCGGAAATGACGGAAATTAAATCGAGTGTAGCAATACAAATGGACACGGCAATAGAATTACGGAGTAAAATTGATGAGGTAGAAGCAAATGGTAACCGTCAAATTCAGTTTTTGCGCGGTCGCATTTCGTCATTAGAAGCTGAGACTACAAAGCTTAAATCGTCAAATGAATTATTAGAAGAAAAGGTAAAATCATTGGAAGATAAAAATACGAAGCTTGAGGCAAAGGTGAAATCTTTGGAAAATCAAAATACGAGTAAATATGGTGAAAAAGAAAAAGAGAAGGAGTGGTGGGAATGTTGGAGGCAGGAAGTGGAAAACATGATAAAAGGGGCGAATTAAGTAATAGTTTCGAAATACAAGTCAGATCTAATGTCCTTTTACACTTAATAAACTGCTTACTGTAGCTATACATTTAATTTATAATGTCAACGAAATGTTTTTAATCAACTCAAAAAATTTTGACAAAAAGATTGTCATAAATCCCGATCATACACAATAAATTTTAAAAATGTAACAAAGCAGAGACAAAACTTCATTGTGCAACATCATTACCACTATTACAAAATAAAGAGTAAGTAATTAATAAACTAAAAAACTTCTTAAATGCATTACATGTAATAATAGAGCGGAAAAAATGATAACACTGTAAAGCACGTAAAGATTAAACTTGCCTATTAATAAAATGTTTTTCTGATGCAAAGATCTGTGGTTAAGACCTTTTCTTTTCTGTCTGAACTTTCACATTTTTATACTACACAAATTTGAAGCATGTTTTGCTTACAAACTATGTTCAAATGATTTTGTGTTTGGAATCATAGTTTTGCATACTTCCAAGGCCTTCCAGTTGAATTATCAAATCATAAAGCCGTCAAGACGTCTGATACTTGATACATAATTCTTATATCAAACAAGACTTACCTGTAAGTTGATGTTTGATTGGAATTCTACTAGTCATCAGTCAAGAACGAAAAAGTCACATGAGAAGCGCGCGTGCGTCGCTTTTGACTCTGAATATGACTACCGCTAAGGTTGTCGAAACGTCAGTCAACAACAAAGCATACTCCCAAGGCCTTTCAGTTGACTTAATAAATCATAAAGCGTTTGTATAGAGCAATCATTCTAGTTGATGTTACAGCTCAATGGTTCTGTATAACTGGATCAGCTGACACCAAAAGAATGGCAAAATTGAACTATTTCTCCCTGGAAATAACTCACTCCCCCTAAAAAGAAGGCGACAAGGAAGTGTTTGAGCAACAAACATTTAACAAGAAAATTTTGATAAAATTTTAGGTGAAAACCAAAAATTTATTGATCACGAGGAATAGCAAACAAAAAAGTTTTGAAACTGAAGCCCTTAACATTTTGACTGTATTTTTGCTATATTTGCTTAATATTACTCAAAGTTTATTTAAATTTTCCTAAATTACATGCTTTTCGGATCACATGGTTTAAGTAATAAGAAGTGAACCTCCCTGTCCTGACCTATACATTTGCATAACTGCTATTAACTCTGGGTGGGCAAGGCAACTAGTACCCAAACAATCAAATTGCAACGAGCACCCTAAAAGAGTTGTTTAACAACGATAAAAACAGAGGTATATAATCTGGTTATTTCTTATTCGAAGTTATTCGTAAGTTGTGTGGAAGAAAAATAAAATCTCTATATGGTATTTTTCTTTATATCTATATTTGTACAAAAAAAAACAGTTGGTGTTGTGCTATGTAATAAGTGCCACCCATATCTTATTATGCGCATGTGATTACCATAGTGGATATTCCCTATACATTGCTTCAATCCATCGTTTATTCTAAAGATTGAATAAACAGTCTTAACAGCTTTTTTATGTTCACAAACTCCATACCCAAGATATATGTGCTCTTCCGTGCCCTCACTGTAGAAATATAATAGCACTAATGAATCTCTCTTTCTTTCAGAAAAAGGAAGCTTACGTTAAATGTTGATAAGGCTCTTGAAGGAAACACGTCAGGTTAATTGCAATTTTTCGTAATTCAAACAAAGCACTTAATTTCCTTAATTTTTCTGCCACTCTTTTTCAATCAGGCTCCTCAATCACACTAGACATGCAAGAAATGGTTATACAATCTTTACGTGTGATGGCTATAAATCCTATGATATCAGTTTTCCTTTTAATGTTTATGGAGCACCAAGTTTTATTTGTTCAGCTTCATTCTTATGAGGAATATAAA